AAATAATAAAATCAATTAAAGAAAAACTTGTATATGAACGTCCAGTTAAATACGCCATCTGTCAAAGGCGACTGCTATCAACTTGACATTTGACGTTTATGAATTGAGGTTATGGGTAATTGATATGAATTGACATTTGACGTTTATGGGTAATTGATATAAAAGTTGAAAAGTCTTTTAGTTAAAAGCAAACAAAAGTTTAAATTAATAATTTATTAATTTTCAGTTATTTTCTTTGAGCTTTTCTAGGTTAAAATTCTTCGGTTCTGAAATATATTTAAAAAAAAATCAATTAAAAAAAAACTTGTATATGAACGTCCAGTTAAATACGCCATCTGTCAAAGGCGACTGCTATCAATTTGACATTTGACGTTTATGAATTGTGGTTACGAATGATGCATAATCGGTTGGATTACGTTCCTTTGCTTCGGTCGTTATATTCTTTATGGCTTGCTTTTTTTTTGTGACTGAATGTGTGTGCTTGCAATGGGGCAATATGAGAAAACCCTAAATTTATAATTCATAAATTATCCCTGGAGGGTTGCCATCGGCGCAACTCCCACCGATGTCTGCTCGTAAGATAAGGTGGACGAGGTGAGGTGGAGGTCGTAAAGTAATGTCGGGAAGGCTTATGGGCCGGGCTAAACATACAAACACAAATCCTCGTCGGCAATCTGGGTATATATACTTTCATGTATCGGCGAGGAAATATGATTGTATTACGCCGTAAAGATAGAATGGAAGCAATTGGCCCCAATCCCACCGGCTTTGAAGCCGGAGGCTACACACACGTCTTCTTATATACCAACCACTTCATTTTCGAGCTCGATTTATGCAGACAATTCTCATTTTTGCTTATCGTCCATCAACGCCTACCGGGATTACGGTTCAAATTATGGGTTTCCATCGTAATCTATAAAGTATCGGACGTTTATTGAAAATATCTATGCCAATAGCCAATAAATATTTTTTTTAGTCTGATAAGTTTTCATATTTCAATATTTCGCACTATTTGAAACCGGACTAATTGAGTCAATCAGCAAAGTAATTATAAACTTTTGTAATATTCATATTTAAATATTATATAATAAAATACTTTTGTTTGTTTTCAACTTGAAAACTTTTCCACTCTAATAATCCCGCAATATGTTTACATTCGAAATTACTTGTTAATTTCACGAAAAACTAATTAAAGTTTACATCAAATATTTGTTTTATTCTTTAGAACATAGCTTGTTCAACTACATTAATTTCGTCTGTAGACTTTTCAATGTATTAGGTAATAATACTAACACTATTTTTTACATTTTCATACCTAATTTTACATACAAAAAAATTGTGCAATATAATATTATGTAATATGAAAACGTTATTAAATATATAAAATAAAATTTAATCATACATCATCATCATTTATTTATAAAATTTAAATAATACATAATATAGGGTGTGATACAAAAAAATGCAGGCTGTTATGGGCTTTAGCCTCTTTCAGCCTCTTAATAACAGAAAGTTTTACAAAGAAAAAAAAAAACATCAACAATAATAATAAAAAAACAAACAAATAATAAGAACACAAATAACTATTAGTAACAATCACTTCACTGCACAAAAAATGAATGTTTTACATCAATGAGGGGGAGTGTTTTTTAAAGTCTAGGAGAAGTTGCATTAATGTGGGGTCGTTGCAGTTAGCGTAGGACGCCAGCACGGCAGGGGGGTGAGGGATTTTTTCCTTTGGGACTTTGGAGAATGTTGGGTTATTTAATCATGTAAAAGAATATGAAATTTATGATTTTTTTAACAGAAAAAAAAATAAGTTAATGGACAATTTCTAACGAAATATAACACCAAGTTATTAAATGTAAAGTATGCAAATAATAAGCAATTTAGTTAATCAAATTGTCGTATTACTGCCAACATAAATTTTAGTTCCATTTTTTTGCACACATCATGAAATTACGCGGAGTTCTGAAACGTTTCCGTTTCGTTGAAAAATCCTTAAATAATGGTAATCATATTTTCGTTTAGGCAATTGAACTCTGGTTCTTATAATCATTCACCCTCCAGTTTCTTTTTCTTACTGCTTCATCTTCCTCTTTTTTTTTCTTATGATTATTTTTTACGATCCTATTTCCACCACCTATTGGATGCTTATTGACTTTTATTTGACGTTTTTTTTTGTCTGAGTTTCGAACTCATCAGCTTCAGATGAGATTTTGCAACACAGGCAACCTTTTATCATTTTAGTAAATTTTTCTTCTTTTCTCCGTCAATTTTGTTAGTTTTCTTTAAAATTTAGACAACCAATTTATCATATTAATACCAACTTTAATTTTAGTTCCATTTCTTGTCCGCATCATCAAATTACGTGTTCCGTAACATCTCCGTTTTGTTGAAAATCGTTAAATAATGGTAATCATATTTTCGTTTAGGCAATTGAACTCTGATTCTTATAATAATTCACCCTGCAGTTTCTTTTTCTTACAGCTTTATTTTCCGCCACATATTGGATGCTTATTGACTTTTATTTGACGTTTTTTTTATCTAAATCCCGACAATCATAATTACGACTGTATCAAAATCCCGACAATCATAATTCTGATTGTATCGAAATTCCGACTTTATCAAAATCCCGACTATAATAAAATCCCGACTGTATTGAAATCTCGACAAACCTAATTCTGACTGTATCAAAATCCCGACTATAATAAAATCCCGATTGTATCGAAATCCCGACAAACCTAATTCTGACTGTATCACAATAACAATAACATTTTAAAATTATTCCCGAGCGTAGTGACTTTTAAATTGTTATTAATAATAAATAATAACAATTAATAATCTAATTGTATTTGAGATTATTTCATAATGTTAAGGTTTATTATGAATAATTCAACAAAATCAAATAAATTAACAATAATTTATTGTTATTAATAATAAAAGTGTAACACAAGCACTTTTCGATATAGTCGGGATTTTGATATAGCCGGGATTATGTTTGTCGGGATTATTGTTGTCGAGATTCTGATACAGTCGGGATTATGGTTGTCAAGATTTTGATATAGTCGGGATTTCGATACAGTCGGGATTATGTTTGTCGGGATTTCAATAGACGATCTTTTGGTTGTCGGGCTTACGATATAGACCCTTCCGTAACATCTCCGTTACGTTTAAATTCCTTAAATAATGGTAATAATATTTACGTCTACTTTTTTTTCTTCTTTCTTATTTATCTTCCTCGTCTTTTTCATTTTAGTCTGTTAATAAATTGCATCAATTTTTCCAGTTCATTTCACGTGCTGATATACTTCACTCCACTCTCACTAGAGTTTGCGATACACACGACGTCCCGCATGCAACGCTTTCAGGCATGAATACGAATATTATGATTACATTTTTCATCCGCCCCAGTTCTTTTTTAGTCTTTGGGTCGCGTTTACCTTTATGGAAGAAGATCCATGGGTTACGAAATTGTTCCGACTACTGAAGCATTGCATTGTTCGCGTGTCTTCCTCCTGTATATTTCCATTTTCGATTCATCCTTTGAGTTGCATTCGTATGCATCTGATATAACAACGCCAGCCAAACTGAGAGCTGGAAGCACACTACTTCATATCATGTTTTTTTTTTATTGCTTGTCTCGTGGGTGCGTTGCGTTTGAAACGCAAATAGTCCTCGTTTTTTTTTTCTTCGTATACTTGTTCCAATAACGACTACGACAGACGCAAATCCTATTCCCGCTTCGCTGCTCTCAAGGATAATTCAATGTATATAAGAGGAAGATGCTTGTGTACACACATACACACACTCTCAAGTGCAGCGTGCATTTCGCAAACGACACGTGTCACAAAATCCTTTTTACCGATCTACGACAATCCATGGTTTCAATTGCAATACCTGTAGTATACAAACATGTGAGGGGAAAATAAAATCTGTCTATTGTGAAATCATATTGAAATTGAAGACATTTCATCACACCATACAATATTTGCTACAGTAGCATACATATAAATTAACTGAGATATATACAAAAATACCTCGAATAGTACAGGTAACAGGTTCAACACTATTTGAAACCGCACTATTGGAAGACTTTAAAATCGCACAAAAAGGCAATTGACAGAGGGCATAAAAGATTATTTTGCATTTTGGAAATTTTCAAACTGTACTATAGTGAATCCGCACTGATCAAAATCTACTAATTTCATTGTTTTAGGTTAGGTTAAAATTAGGTTACGTAACTTACTTACAACATGTAATAAACATGATTGGAAATGGAAAGTACATATGTTTTACTCATACAAATTGACAAGTTAAATGACATATGTCATTTGTCACTTAGAAATCAGCCATCTTTAATTCGAAAAGATTATTTTACATTTTTCTGAATTATAATGTAATTAGTTTTGAAATTTTCAAACTGTATTATGTACTATGCATCCGCACTGATCAAAATCTACTAATTTCATTGTTTTAGGTTAGGTTAAAAATTAGGTTACGTAACTTACTTACAACATGTAATAAACATGATTGGAAATGGAAAGCAAATATGTGTTACACATACAAATTGACAAGTTAAATGACATATGTCAATTGTCACTTAGAAATCAGCCATCTTTAATTCGATTTGTTTGGAAGAAGAAAAAAAAACAAAATATAAATATGCTTAGCATTACATTTCGATTAATTAGTCATTAAGTAAAATGTAATAATTATAGTTGGTCATGTAAACTAATCTCATTTTCCCCACATACAAATTAACCTGTCAATATGACAAATGTCACATAGATGTCAGAAATCTTTAATTTATTATGTGACATTTGATTTCTATAGGAAAACAAAATATAATGGCCGTCATAAACGATAATTCGGTGCTTAAAACAATTGAAACTTTTATTAATTTACGCTTACGACGTTCACCTGTTGCTTTTCCATCCGATCGATTCGATGACTTTCGAGTGACTGTAATATTTTGTCTTTCTTTCTTTTCTTGAAAGGTTTTGGCGATCGGTGGAGTGATGAGGTATTGCAACATGCTGCGTGCTGGAATCACGTGGAAGGGCCCAGAGGTGATAGAGCTATGATCACGAGGGCCGAGCGCGGCGATTCGAGGACACGGCCGTCGTCGATCCGAACACGCCGTCCCATCCGGCTACTACGGTCGATGTCGAGTTGCAAGGGACGACAACGATGATGATGACGAGGAGGAGGATGAGGATGACGAAGACTGCTCCCTCCTTGTGGTCGCCCCATCCTCGGCCTCGCTGGCCACCACCACTAGAACTTCCACCTGCAGCACGTACTCCGACTCGGACAATTCCGAAGAGTTTGTCTGACGTTGCCGCAAAGGGTGAGTTTGCTGCGAGACACAAAACACCACAACACGACGGCAGCCACCTAATAAGTTGCAAAACAAAAACAATTTAAGTTAGCTCTAATCACAACTTTTACCTAACCTGATCCACCTTAAGTCTTACCCATAACCTAACCGAACAAATAGTCTTACTAAATTTAATTAATTAAACATAGCCTCACCTATCCTAACCTACCTTTCGCCTTAAGTAAACTAAAGTTATTTATCCTAACCTCGCTTAACCTAACTTAAATTGCACACTCTTATTATGCAATTTATGGGGGGACACGCGATGAAGCTGATTTCAGTGGAAATGGCAATTTAATATTGCGTTTGTGTCAGTTACGTGAGGAAAATGCGCGAATAGAGCTGTGCGTATGTGTGTGTATGCGAAAATAGAGAGGAAAAGAGAAAAAAAAACTGGAAAATGTGAGCGGAAAATTGATGACGACACTTTTCTCCGCGAATATTTTCCAAGGGCTTTTCTGTCTCGCAGCAGCAGCAGTCTGAATTTTCGCACGTGCGAAAAGCAGAGAAGGAAATTAAAAGTAAAAATATCAAAAGAATTGTTACGCAACTATAAAACGTTTGTATTTATGGATAGGAGAATCGTATATATATATTTATATTATTGATAATCAGAGTTAAGTTAATAATAATAAATAATAATAATAATAATATAAATATGTAAATGCCCGAGAACTTTCATGAATGTTTCAACTATTATTAATTTGGTGACGTTCTATTATTATTATGATCTGTGTGCCAAAAGCGATGGAAGAACGAAAGAGATTGTTGAATCGAAATGATCACATCGGATTTAAAAAAAAAGAAAGAAATAATCAGACATCTTTTGTTGTTCTAAGGCTTTCGAAACCAAAACTTTCTACTAAATAATATTAAGTGTAATTGTGTAACGTTAACATTAACATCAAAAAAAACAAAAAAACAAATCTAATAATATTACGAATAAATGTTAAGCGACATAAAAGAAAAAAAAAAGATATATTTGTAGTGTCTGTGATGATGTTGTACATAAGCAAACAAAATATTCAATGTTATATAATTAAGAATTTTTGTTTTAGCTTCTTCTGTTTCTTATAAGTAATCTTTGTAATTAATCAATATTAAAAAAAGAAAGAAAAAAATAACATGTACATATTATAAATACATAATGAATGATGTAACAAGAACAATACGTAATTGATGATCTGTGTACTGTGAATATAAATGAAACGAAACCGTGTTATTATATAATTATTATATTTATTTTCATGTCAGTTGTAATAAACTGTATTATTATTATTATAATTATTATCATTCGTGTTCCTTCCCCGCCTTTATCCTAAACTACAATTTACTAATTGTATTATTTAAATTTAGTTTTTTTTTTGTCATACGTGTTATTCTTATATGAATAAACTCATTTTCGTGCGTGTAACTTTTCAGGTAAGTGAATGTATGCGTTTCGCTGTAATTAAAATAGCATTAAGCGACACGAAATGTTTGCTTCTGCTGCTGTTGCGCAGTTACCGTTCGATAATAGCAACGAAAACAAAACAACGTCAGAAATAAAAGAATAAAAATAAATGAAAATGTAAATATGGATGCTGATGGATGCACATCGATTCTCTCGGAACGTCAAGAAGGAGAAGATGAATGAATTATTGTTATTTCCGATCCCTTTCCTTTTCGTGGGTGGCATTAAGGAGAAGGAGAAAGTCCATGAATATAAAGGAGTTCTGTGTCAGAGGCGGCGGCGACAACGACCGTTTATTATGTATTTATTATTTTTCGGGCGTCATTTTTCACGTTGACTTTGTTTTATGGATCCCCGTTTTCAGAAGAAAGTAACTTTCCATCGAGTCGAAATTGAACTCGTGGTTTCAGAAAAAAATGATTATTACAAGTTTCTAATTACGTTAATTAGATTTTAAAATTATAATTTGTGACATTTATAGATGAACTGTCAAATTTGACAAATGATATTATTATATAAGTTATATATATTTTGTTAATATTTTTTCAAAATGTTGAAATTAAATGTTATTTTTTAACTGAAATGTATGAGTTACCAAATCGATATATAACAAACAAAAAAATGTTGTGCGTCATCTCAATTTCTTAGATTTTCCTAGTTTTTCGTCGATCGGAGAAATGCGTGATTGGGCACGTTCGAGGGTCGCGCCAAATAAGTTTCATTTTCGTCGTCAAAAATCAACCTGCAGAAGTTTCTCGAGCCAGGCAGGCAGGCAGGCACGACCCTTCTTCTTTAAGGGGGGAATTCCCCGATGACCCGAGTCCCATCCTTTTAGTAGAAAGAAGAAGCAGCAGTAGCAGCAGGAACTGGTTGTAAGATCGAGCAGATGGAAAGGATCCATTTAGGCGTTAATAAGTTGAAGGTGGAAATAACCGAATGTGTGTGTGTGTGTGTTGGGTGGAGGAAACACGATAAGCGGATGGACAAGAAGGAGCAGAATGCTCGTGCGCGCGCGCTCTTCCTTTCGATTTGGCAAATTGAAAGGCGCACTCTTTTTCCGCTCGAAGTGGATGAATGCGGATTAACGAGGAAAAGTGTCCGGGGCACGACTACTCCACTCCTCCACTGACAACGCGCAACCGAATTAGTTGCGCGTTTATAAAAATAACACATTGGCTACTGGAAACGGAAATTGGGAGGAAAAAGAAACCGTTTCCGGACCAGATTCGAACTGTAACGAGCTCCGAGCACCATCGTCGAACGATGAAGATTGGATGGGGAAAAAAGAAGAGGAAACAAACAGCTGTTACCAGATGGAATGGAAGGAAGTCGTTAACTGCTAATTGATGTCTAAATCGATGAAACGTCGAAGCTCCATCTATGAAATTACTTTCCAGTAACTTATCTATAAACAGTTTCCATGGAAACACATACATATAAACAATATCTTAGCTATTTCTTAAATGTTGCGTCCATGTAACGTAAGACACAAATATTTGACAGGTGTCATTTTATTTGAATTAATTGGCAGAAGAACTCTTGTTTTCATGTAGAAATTTTTATTCATTAGTTTAACGATTTGTTAATCAGAAATTGATTATAATTGGAAGAAGACATTCAGTGAGCACCAAGTGTAAAGCGTCGTTTCCTGGTGAATCGCGGTCGGCCTTAGAGATGGAGGCAGCATCTGTGCTAGAAGATTCTTCACATGCACTCCGGATGGAACGGATGAAGGTAGTTTCCGGCGACGCAGCCACGAGCTGCCCTCCCTAATTTGATGCACCTTCCCACCACCCTCTTAACGACCTGATATTCCATGTGACACACAGAGGATCCGACAGTTTCATCCGTTTCTCCAGCCTCCTTACAACAAGAACAACAACAAAAACAAACGAATAATCAAAATTGAATAAACAAATTTTAAAACAAATAGACGTTACCGTGACAGCGTTTGTTTTGACGACGACAGGACTGTCATCGTCGATGAGGATTTCACGACCCATCACCGCCGCCACCACCACCACAAGAAGGAACATCAACACTATGAACGACGAACTTCTACACATTTTGAGATTATGTTTGCGTCTACCTCCGAAAACGCTTCCATCTTATATATACTCACGAAACCCCAGCAAAACATCCCCCATTCCCAGCAAACAACGAAGAAAACGGAAATTACTTAATATCTCGATAATTGATTCGAGATGGAAACCCAACAAGAAGAATAACAGGAGGGTTTCTTGAGCATCGATATTTCTTTTTATTAGTTTATTCTTTTAATTTTTGAGATTTCATTAATAAATTTTTCATTTCTTCCTTAATTATTCCCGTTTAAATAATGATTCTCATTGTTTATTCATCATTTTTCATTTCAATTTAGGAGTAAAGAGAGAGAATTGTTGACTATATTGAAAACGTACACAAGTTCGAAAATCCAAAAAAAAAAATAATTAAAAAATTAACGAATTATTAAAGAGAATTAAAGAGTTATTAAAAAATTTTAAGTGGAGAGAATAGGTCTGGAGACCAAGAGACACACGATTTTCCACTAAGAATATACTAATTGTATAAGATTGAATAACTGATGAATTGGATGGATTTTTAGTATAAAATTTAATTTTAATCCCACAGATAAACCAGCGTATGGCAAATCTAGTGGATCAAAACGAGATCCGTAGCATATTCTGTATGGAACAGGTGCAACCTCGTGAAGGTTATATGCGAAACGGTCTTGAATCAATTCAGAGGCTATGTTTTGCGCTTGAACTGAAACCTGGCTATCATCTTCGAAAGAAGATCATATACCTTTTGCACCTGGGGATGCGGCCACGTGGAAGCCGCTACTCTCATTCACAGCAAATGAGAGCAAACGCGCGACCGCACACCCGGGAGGAATCAAAAAGAAAATAGGAAAAGTTTAGGATAAAGAAGGAAATGCTATGATCTAGGTACCTGAAACAGAAGAACACAAAGAAATGACACACACCCGACACAAAACATGAACGAAATATACATTTACACAATCTATAAGATCGTATTAAAAAATACGATACACATTTATAATTACAATAAAAATAAAATTGCATTGCACATTGAACATCATTATAATATTTAACAGGAGAGGAATAAATGGAACGTCCATTTTCTCTCTCATCTTTTTTATTTTTTAATTCTTTTATTTTCTATATTTTTTTTTATTATTGTTATTAAACCATATTTATTTTTCATTCTTTTGTTTTATATATATGTTTATTTTTTTTTATTATTAATCCATATTTTTTTAAATATTTTTTTTATGTATCTATTTGTTTATACATAATATTTTTATATAATATGGTTTTCCTATTACTTTTTATTTTATTTTTTCTATATTATGAATGTGTAATATGCAATGCATTACAATATAATCAAGCGCTTTTAGCTATCCAGCATTGTGACTACTCTATAGGCTTTGAGTAATCGCCGAAAGCTTTACAAATTAGAAATATATAAATTACGACCCATTCAATTCCTCATGTGCGAATTGGGGGTATAGGGATATAGGGAAAGGATAAGGGTAAATGCGAACCGGAGACTCGGCGGTTCTAGGAAAGGATGGAGAGTCCTCGGATAGGTTATTATGAGTTGTTAGTAAGAGTGAGTGAGGTGTTAACTTAAAAATAAAGAGGAATATAGGCAAAATGGGCGTATTACAAATGCAACTTAATCTAACCTAACGAAAAAGAGAACTAACATCTATAACAAATTGCACTTTACTATATTAATTAGTTCTCTAACAATTATATTATCATAACTGCCTAATTGGACATTTAGGATAATCAATTGC